ACTCCACACCCCCCCACCAAGATTTATAGAAAGACGACAGCTCCGACCATGCCTTACTCGCACAAACACAAAGCCGAAAACCCTAGCCTAAAAATGGCCAGTGGGACCTCACCGAAACATTGCCAAGACAATCTCAATCTTACATGGGAAAAGACCCAAATACAACAAGACCATCATACACGCACACACACACACACACACACACACACACACACACACATATCAGTGGTGGGTTCCGGACTCTGTCGCAGCCGTTACACTGCGCATGAGGCCGGGCATCCTATTCGGGCATGCACGCTATGCATGCATGCGCATGCCACCGCCCTGTGACACCCAGCTTCTCAGCTGTACATGCGCAATTGGCCGGTCACATTATAAACAGCAATGGGATGGGATGGAACAGCAATGGAATGTGGGCAGGCTGGTGGGTGGGCCAAATGTGCCACCGTACCGGTACAGTGGTCGTTGCTGCCGCCTAGTACCAGTACGGCCGTACCAGGTCTTACTTCCCGGAGCCCACCACTGACACATATAATATATACATAAACAACATTAAGATTTTAAAAGTTTTTCAATTAATGTTAAAATTGTTTAGAATAAGTAGGCACATATTGTTTTTATTTCCAAAGTTATCTATATTGATCTATTGCAACAAACATCACCAACTGGTGTCTAAAAATAATAAATTTATTATGGCAAAAAAGTTTTGGGATTACAGCCCTTGTCCACAGATAAATATAGAATCTTTACTGTTATAATTTCAAAAATTAAAAACAAAACATGAAAGAAATAACTTTCCTTGAGAATTTCAGAGCTACTCAACCAGCATTGCAAATTGATTACCATCAGAGAGACATTGAACTGAATTTTAGATCATTCTTGAGAATGTTATGCAGTGTTTTTGCCCAAATTCAGATGCCCTATCAGAATCTGCCATGAGAATTATTTGAAATAGTCAGAAGCCGCATTATAGCAGAAAAAGACTATTTTGGTGAGTTGTTAGGTATCCCTCTGTATTTGAATCAGGGAAGGAAGCTCTCATGATACCTACATAATACAGGTGATAGGTTTTAAATAAACTTCAGCTAGGCTTAAGTGCCTAATAGGTAAATTTATATGTTTCTCACTGATGATTAATAACAGATATAAAGATTGAGGTCTTTTCTAATGCAGGTGTGCCAGAAAGCGGAATGATGTGATATAGTGATTTTGAGAGATGATACAATTAGAAACCAGTTTGCAGTTTGCATTAACAGTTTGGATTTTATATTAAGGATGAATTTACACGTATCATAGTTGGCACCTTAAAAAGTTGCTTTCTCTTGCCAAGCTGTATCTCTGGCAGATAGAGAACAAAACTGAATTGCTCAGAATCATGTCTGAACTTTGTGAAGTACAATAGGTAGCCTATAGTGCAAGTTCTTATTAAGAAGTATAACACTTCTGAAAAATTATTTTTTTGCTTTTCAAATTTAGAATTGTAGAGATTGCAGCATGTCACTCTTCTCACACCTCTGCTGCTAAAACCCAGGGTGGCGATGTATATATGTGGGGTCAGTGCCGGGGACAGTTCGTCCTTCTTCCATTCCTCACCCACTTCTGCTGCACTGATGACGTGTTTGCTTGTTTTGCTACTCCTGCAGTGACTTGGCGTCTCCTTTCAGTAGGTGAGCTTCAAATTAACTTTTTTAAAGGCTTTCATTCCTGAATCTGAATTAGATCTTGAAGATGTATAAGTTACTGTATTTTAAGTGCAGTCCTTAAAAGAGTTTGAATCATGATTTGGAGGAAAAAGTCACATTCTTTTTGGCTATCAGTAGTGCATCCGAGACTAAAGATAGAACTCTTTTGTGTGTTTCCCATTTTTCTTTTTCGTTGCATGTGTGCTATAATGACAGTAAGGAACAACCACCTATTCTGGACTTTTGACATTTCTTTCAGTCTGGTATTTTGTAGCAGTGGTCCCCAACCTTTCTGGCTCCATGGATAGGCAACAGCAGTAGTAGTGGGGGAGGGGGGTGGTTTGGCACACACTTGTGCAAATGAAACTTTGCACATTCGCCTGCTGCTTGTGTGGCCCAGTTACCAGGGTCCACAGACGAGAACTGGTCCACTGCCCTGCAGTAGGGGACCCCTGCTGCAGAAGACATAACAGTAAACATCAAATGCATTGGGAGTCAAAAAGTTGGTTATCAAGAGTCAAATGGGGTGACCCCAGAAGAATGAATTTATAAAACACCACTCTTTTTGTTGTTTCACTAGAATCTTTAAATGGAATTTAAAAGAAAGATTATCTGAAATTTCCAATTGAAAAGTATTATGGCTTTACGTGGATTAGGGTTAGAATTCGAAGTTTTTGGTTCATATTACTTTAGGAAATTTCATGCCAGCATGCAGAGAATAGGAATTGCCATGAAAAACCCTCAAGGACGCTTTTACCTGTATTGCTTAGATCCACATTGGTTTAATTTTGTAGTAGAAACTTCTGAACCAAGTTGATGTGAAGAAGCCGGCACAACATTGTTAGAAAGCACATTTTTAAAGTTCACCAAATGGGTGGGTGAGTACATGAGAGAGAGTGAGAGAAATAGATACATTTACCTGAGAGGCAAAGCCTTTGACATTTAAAGTCCATAGAGGAGGAGTCTTTTAACAAATAATTTTAAGAAAATAGACTTTTATCAGTTACATGCAACAATGTGTATTACTAGAAGATTATGCAGATATTTTACCACTTTTTAAATATCTTCTTTGTCCTTCCATATAAAACTAATGATTTGGGCTGAATTGACATGGACTCAAACACAGAGTACTCATCTAACAGCTTTTTGCTCTGGAATATAAGCAATTATACTGTTTGGTCTGCTAAAGTACCCTTGTCCTTTGACATGGGGCTGGATCCAGGCGGTTGTTGCGGTNGTGAGCCGCCCTGAGTCCCCTCAGGGAAAAGGGCGGCCTACAAATTCTAATAAAACGCTGTTACTGCGATCTCTGCCACCTGGAACTGCCCGTGCAGGTGTCAGAGAGACGGCAAGCACTTGGGGGCTCCTGAGGGGACCTTCAAAAGGCTTTCAATGCAATTCCCTGGGCCACTTTGGGAATCAGACTCCATGTGGAAGTGAGGATCCCTGCTGTGTGGAACCACCCGAAAATCCGACACGCGGACCAGGTGGGCGTGGCTACATTCAGAGTATAAGGCGCAGCCAGATTTTCACCCTCTTTTGGGGGGTAAAAAGGTGTCTCTTATGCTCTGAAAAATACGGTATATAGATTTAAATAGCTTAGTTGTCCTTTGTTGCAACTTTTGTTTTAATTAATAGTAACAGCATAGTTAGGAATTCAGTAATCTCTGTTGGCTGTAAAGCTATTTGACTGTGTATTGTTTGGGGAGTACGTGTGAGAATTGAAAGTTCATTACAGCCTTTTCTCTCTTCTGTCTCACCTTGAAAAAAGCAATTGCTTTAACAGCAAAAAATTCAGGCATGGGCACTAAATTAAAATTAAGCCTTGCTACTGTTAACCTTCATTGAAGGTAAGCTGTTATTGTCCAAGATAATATCATCTTACCTTTGTATACGGAAAATTCCTTATTTCCCACCGGAACGACAAAAAAATCACCTGACAATTGTCCGCAAAAGAAACAGTACAAGAGCAAATTAAATGCAGACTACTTAGCAATTCTATATGTATGTAATTTAGTGAAATCTTATTTTACCAGACGTTGATATAGTAGATTTTAATTGGAGTAGAACCAATTACGGCAGAAATGATACAAATGAATTCAGAAATGAATTTATATCATTATGCAAATGATGTAAATCCTCACTCTTGGACTCATCAAATTTTTCTCAATAACAGGCGTTCCTCAATTAGTCTGTTAAATTGAGATTTTACCATAATATAATTGGTAGGCAGACAAGGTACTGAATAAGAAAAGTTAAAACAGAAGCAGCTCATTCACATGAAGCTGTCATAGGTGTCAAAAAGGGCAGTTTAACTAATATATTAGTTTTCCTTAAAACCATTTTAACATTTTTGCTGAGTTGAAACTATTTCTGTTGAAATCTGTCTTGGGAGTTTTTTGTTGCTGTAAGAATTGTAGCTTAGAAAATTTTATTTTTTAAAAATAAATAAATTCCAGAGCACAGAACTCCACAAGAACAGCTCCAATGTTGAACTGTCTTTCCATTTAATTAGGAAATCACTGTTAAGTTGGCAGTCAGAAAAGGGAGAATGAGGAAGAATTTTCTTTCCAATTTCTATTATTTGCAAAAGAGGGAAAAGAGACCAGATACGCCATTTGCTAAAAACGTGAAGCAAATTTCAACTTTTCCTAATATTTAATACAAAAAAAGACAGAATCTCTCTGATTGTGATGGTCTCTTTAACTCAAAAGCAAAGAAGCCACTCTATGGTGGAAAAGACAGACTGGGGGGGACCTAAAACTATACGGTCTTGTCAGGTTTGAGCCAAAGCTGAAGCTGATTCCTCCCTCTCCACATGTATAATGACCTCCAGGCATCAGTAAAGTGTTTTGGATGGCCCAAGGCAGAAATGTACTGATGAAAAGAGGTTCCAAGCTTAACCCTGAGCTGACAAATCACTCAGTAGTTCCTATAGATGTTAAATAGGAGTGGAAAGAGTCAGGTCCTGTGGCATACCACATCACAAAGGATGGGGATTTCTCACCTACTAGCGCTTGTAACCAACCATGAAAGAAGCAAAAGATCCACTGAAGATCGATGCTTCTGTTCCCAGCCCCTTCAGACAACCCAAAGGGATACCATGATTGCTGGTATCAAAAACCTCTGAGAAATCAAGAATCAGGACTCATGCTCAGAATCTTGTGGATAGTCATTTGGATCTTTTTGGAGTTGAGCTCCAGCAGTGCTGATTTTGAAATGAGTGATGCACAGACTTCTCCAGATTTCTAGGCGCGTGCTCATCTGGCCCGCAACCCAGAAGAGGAGCTGCCCAGGGGGCACGCGCACACAGAAAATGAAGTTCCAGTTTTTGGAATGCACATCTGTGCTGGCCAGCTAGTCTTCCGGATACTGGTGCACATGCGTATGCAACAATCAGCTGGCCAGCATGCATGCTCCTGCGAGAAAGCAAGACCAGCTCTTCCAATTTCTGGCACTGATGCATGCACAAAGGCCAGCTGGTCGTTGCATGTGCATGCATGCCAGAAACCTGGAAGAGGAACGGGTGAAACCATGAGTGTCACACAACATGGCTCTGTCTGCCACTTCGGACACATGTGCCATAGGTTCGCCATCACAACCCTAGTCAGTTGCTCATAGCGTTGTTGTTGACTTTTGTTAAAAATAAAATCAGGTACAAAATGTGTCTTCCCCCCCCCCCCAGTCCTATTAATTACTGCACTTGTAATTACTGCACATGTATTAAATTTCAAAAATTTGTCTGAAGAAAACCATTTTGCATTTTAGAGCTGTCCCTGAGAACTCCTTGAACAAAGTTACCTAGCTAATATTCTATCAAGGCTCCAACTGAAATCTTCTCTACTCCTTCCACAACCCCCTTTTGTTTGCTCACACACTTCAGTCTTCTTTGCTTCTGCTCTCTCTCTCTCTGCCTTTCTTTGCATAGATAATGGATTTGTTTTAGCTTTGTTATAAACCCAGAAGTAAATTGTAATATGAAGGATTAAGGATTCATATTTTGTGTTATATTTAACAGAGAAGCCATTAATTATAAGCTTTTCCAACTCTTGACTCATTCTGTCCCTTTTTGAGCTGATACTTAGAGATCCCTGCGACAGAAACTTAATTGGTGCCCCATCTACTCTGTTGTACACAATCTGTCTGAGCTTGTAAATGTACAATGATCAATTTAGGCAATAAGATGATTGAATACATAATAATGTAATGTTCTCTTGTTTTGCTGCTTCGCTAATTTTTTTCCACATTTGTGGATTGTCGTCATTCTCCGGAGTAGTTGGTGGGAGGAGTCACTGATGGTTATTCTCACATCCAATCTGCCCAGAGACTGAGGTTAAAGTTGAAGCCATTCCCCTCTACTTCCTCTGCCTGGTTCCAGTTTAACCTCAGTCTTGGCCCATTAGAGTACTGTTTTTGCTTGCTCTTCTGATTGGACTTGTGTGAACTTTTTCCCATCCTTGATTTCTCAGTGCTGCTTCTTCAGCGAATAGTAGGCCTAAGGGCCTTTCCACAAGCCGCAGATGGAGAAGGAAATTCCAACTCCATTGATGTTTCTTGAGGTGCTCAAGAATTAATGGGTCAAACCTAGGGTTTTCCCACTCAGGGGGGGGGGGGATTAATGTCATTTTTATAACCTTGAGGCCAGTTTTTCCCAAGCTTTGCAGATGCCTATGGTGGATGCTCCTGTGGCCACACTGGCATCTTCTTCACCCTCGTGGCGGGTGACATTGCCAACAACCTCAAGGTGCAATTGACCCTACGCAACCTTCCAGGCTGCAACCTGGGCAATCAATGCAGCGGCCGCTGCTTCCTTCTTTAACAGGACTACTCTTCTTTGGCTGACTCATGAAAGAGAGGGCGTCGTCGGAGTTGCGGCTCCTGCAAGATATCAAGCTCACGATGGCTACCCAGTTTTTGGCGGATGCCACGCTCAACGCGGTCAAATATGCCTCAAGGGCTCTCTCCTCGTCAGTGGCCTCTAGGCGACTTCTATGGCTGTGTGGATGGCAGGCAGATGTCCGATCCAAGTGGAACCTGGCGGGGACTGAATATTCCGGCAAGAAGCTGTTTGCCGCTTTACTGAATCCTATTTTAGTAGAGGATAAAAATAATCACAAGGTCCTCCCTACTGCGTCTAAGCATTCTGAGCAACAATCAGTTCCCTACCAGAGGAGGCCTTCCTATCAACCTCCCGATCAGGACTTCCAAAAGCAGAGGTATTCCTCTTCCAGATACTCTAGTTAGGGGGACAGGCAGTGCTATAGGACAGGACTAGGTACCAGCAGCCTAATAAGTGGCCCTTTTGTGGGGAGGCAGCCGTCCCTACCGCAGAAGTAAGTGACTCCAGCTTGGATCACCCCATAGGTAGCAGCCTTGCCACATTTGCAGATCGCTGGGACTTCATCATTACTGATGAGTGGGTCCTTCAGACTATCAAGTTTGGGTTACGTTTAGAGTTCCTCTCTCACCCCCTGACTTGTTTTCGGCTCTTCTCCTCTTCTAGGAACCAGGTCAAATGTAAGCTCATGAGTAAGGCAATTCAGCGCTTGCTGGATATCTAGGCTGTTGAGCTGGTTTCAGAAGATCAAAAAGGTTCTGGATAATAACAAAAGGAACCTGGACACAAATTGTAAACAGTGACTTGGAAAAAAAGGGGGGGTTAGAAACTTTGTCAACTAATCTTTGTTTAGAATATGTTATAAAGGTTTAAGGCTATTGGATGATTTTGTAATAATTAATGAAATGCCATCAGGTGGTTGTGTTTTNTAAATTCAAATTCAAATTTCATTTTGTTACGGCTCAGTGTTCAAGTCTGTCGAGATCCATCTGGATCGAGTCTATCTTCTTTGGTGTTAGCTATTTCTGCCAGTTTAGTGTCTTTAAATCTGATGAATTTTGCTGGTCCACTAATTTAGTCACTTTGTCAAAAAAATGAATCACTCGCTCATTATTCCTGAATGATTCTGATACCATACATTCAAATATATTCTGTAGAGAAAAATATATAAAAAATATGCTCTTCTCTTGTTGCTTTGTTTATATCCAGGTTTTGTAGTGATTTTATTTGTGTTATGAAAAATGTTTGATTTCCATTATTTTCTTGTTTTTAGGTACTATGAAAGAGATTTAAATAGAAAGTATTACTGAAAAATATTTGTAATATTTTCGTTTCAGAACCTGATGATCACTTAACAATAGCTCAATCAATAAAGAAGGAATTTGACAACCCAGATAATGCTGATTTGAGGTTTCAAGTAGATGGAAAATACATTTATGTTCATAAAGTACTCCTCAAAATTAGGTATGAAATTATCAGTCCTCTCCAATATTTTCATTATCTTCCCTGGGTTTTTTGCCCATATACATAAACATTTTCCAGTACTATTAAAATGTGTATCTCTGATACTAAACTTCATTACTAATATTAACTTTCATAGCTTTCTATAATAACAGTTGGCATCTTTGCACAGACTTATGAAAGCCATTGAAATGATGTATAATTGCAGTAAACATATCACTTTTTAAAAGAATGGCGCAGTTACAATTTGGAAAGACTTGTAAGTTCAGTATATTATAAAGGGCCATGAGGCAGCCACATATGTGGATATGTGGCTGCATTAATAATGCACTGCTGAGAAAATGCAAAGTATAGATGTGCAGACAACAACTCTTCTACAAGCAGCTTAAAATAAATAACTTAGTAAGATTCCATGGAGAAGAGGCAATTTAAAAAAATTAAAAATTGCCTTCATGCTTATTGTCTTTATCTTCAACTTATATACAGCATGTGTATCTTCAAGTGAAAGATCTTCTCTTTCTAGCTCCCCACTATGTATTTTATTCCTATTCAGCCAGAGTTTGATATGTTTTTCATTAAATGATCATGATCAGCAAAATACAGTGCTGACTACTACATTGTCAAAAAATGGAAATAAGTCTCTACAAGGTATATAATTCATTTCAAAACCAGATTAGCATAGCAGTAAGGCACAAAAGACTGTCAATTCTAAAAATACAAGTAATATGAAAAGAAATTGCTCAGTCCCTCTTAATACATGTTACATTTGCATGGGTTCATCTTTCCCACATCATTTTCATGTTAACCTTTCAGGTTTTCTGTTACATGGCAGGAATCAAGTTGTTAGTGCTGATGTTATAATTGTTTCCCTTTTGTGCCCAGGTGTGAACATTTTCATTCAGTTCTGAACAATGGTACTGAGGAAATCATAGAAATAAATGAATTCTCATATCCTGTTTATCGAGCATTTTTGGAGTATCTTTATACAGATAGCATCAGTCTCCCTCCTGAACATGCCATAGGTAATTAGAACAAAAGAGCTTAAATTAATGTTACCAGCTAAGGTATTAATGTATATTTTCATGATATTTATGTACATGCGAATATACTGACTTGTGTAAACTTACAGTAGATCAGAGCATGAAGTGTGTCTGCATATATTTTCACATCTTGTAGCATTAGAGAAAGTATTTTGTTAATGATGAAGGAAAATAAACAGACTGGTATAACAAGTTGTGCAATAAATTATAAGAAAAAGCATTATATTGCTGAATTCTAATACTATATATCATAAATATGTAGAATATATATACCGTATTTTTCGGAGTATAAGATACACCGGAGTATAAGACGCACCAAGATTTTGAAGAGATTTTTTTTTTTAAGTTTTTGCCCTCCCCGGCTCCCAGGAGCACTCTGCAGGCCTCCCAAACTCTCTGCATGCCTCAGTTTTCAGAGGGCCTGCAAAGTGCTTCTGGGGGCTGGGGAGGGCAAAAGCACAATATGTAGGGGCTCAATCATCCTAAAGGGTAAGGCTTTTATCGATCTCAAATCTGCTTTTCTCTACCCCTCCCCATGGCAAGGCAGGACTAAACATATCTCTCTGCACTTTATTTTATTTTCTCCTTCCCTCTGACCAGTGACCACACAGAGCTGCTTGGCCCAAGGAGTGGCAATCAGCTCACTTTTTCTCTTCAGTGAGGAAAGAAAGACACATGGGGGCTACTGAACGGCCGCTACTACACTTGACCAAGAACAGCCCATTGGGCGAGGAGGGGTGGGGATCTCTTCCACTTGGATTAACAGTTCCTCGTGGTGGTGCCTGAGCGGCAAAAGGGATGTCCAAAGAATATGACCTAGCAAGGCCAGGCTTGAATAACCGGGCTTGTTCACAGCCCTCTTCGCAACCCCGCTTCCTTAGTCTCAGTGCAAAAGCAGGTGCCAGGCTCCTAGCTACCATATCTCTTTGTTGAATGATAGATCCAGGCAGATTGGAGATGGGAGTGGAGGAAGAGTAAAGGAACAGTCTCCTTTTCACAAAGGCTTTTCTAAGGGCGCTAGATTGGGAAGTTAAAAACCTGGAATTGGATACAATCAAGCTCCTGAGATTGGTTCGTTGCCACCCCAAAACGGTCGTAACAGGGAGGGGCAGATACGGCGGGGACTTTAGGGCAGGCCATTACCGGGGAAGGAG